CAAAGTAGTCGCGCATACCATCCCAATCTGCCGACCCATAGTGCCAGACCCTGCGTTTGACCACCAATGGTCGAGGGGTTTTGGCTTGTAGCACCTTGGCAGATATCAGGCAATGATCTGATGAACCCAGTGGGGCTCGAACCACAACCTGATACTCCTGCGGATGAGTCATAAGCAGAAGGTCTAGCAAAGAAGGCACTTGACTTGTTATATCTGGGATCCTGGTGGGCTGATCGACCAGTTGTGATAAGTCATGCGTGAGTGCGAATGCATGGGCAGAGATCCCTGCATGGTCAGTTTTGGAGGAGCCCAGCCACAAACCGTGGTGGGCGTAAAAGTCCCCCAAAAACACCAGTTCTGCGTTGGGAAATTGCGCCTGGGCATCATCTGCTGCCCTACTAAGGTGGTCAAACAGTCGAGTTGTCTCAGCGGCGCCGGTGTGGGATCTGTAGAAGCACACGTAGACTCTGGCTAAAGGACCAGAGTCTACATGTACCGCCAACATGGAGAAGGAGGGGTCTATCAAGCAGCTCAAACGGCGATAACAAACATCCGCCCGAACATACGCCGGCTTTTGCTTTGAAGGATTCTTCAAGCATGTAGCCGGGATAGTTAAGGTAGCCTGTGTCAGCGGGCGGAAGTATTTATGTCTCCGTGAGAAATAATAATGCTGGCCGTGCTGTCTCAAGATGGTGGTGGACAGCATTGAGGTTAGAGTGGAGTCCGCGTATATTACAGAACTCAACCTCAAACAGCGGCGGATGATGAAGATGAAGCTTGTAAGGCCCTTCTGGTCTTAAGCATGGACTACGGATGTATTTAAGTTAGTAAGAGTCTGACATAACCTTGCAGCCGGCTATAGGGTATAGTTAAAACAAAAACGAATTGATTTTGAGTTTGAGACGCCGTTTGACTTTGATTTAGGTATTTAAGTTGAGATATATAGATTGATATTCATTATGTTTTTCTAATTTCCGGTATAGAAAATAATGACTCCTGCTCAAATACATTGTGGTAACTACGGGCAATTACGGAACCCTACACTGCGTGTGGCATGACCCGCACTTGGCCGGGTTTTGATGATAATTGAAATATACTTATTTTATTAGGTTCACTTGCAGAAATTTTGCTGTATCTCAATTTAATTAAGACCAGACTTAGCCCTTATATTACTGACAATTGACATTGTAATTTTTCTATGTTAAAGTTAAATCTAGACTTAGTTGAATCAAGATTTAGCAAATTTGCTGCAAGTGGGCCTTAGTTGCAAACTTATTAGAGCTAAGTGCTTCAATTGGGATTAAAACCTAAGCCCATTGGAGCAGAATTGATGGAGCGCTGCTATTCCACTTTGTCTCAAATGGATCAAGATATTGAAGAAGAAACTTAATGCCCAACAATGGACACATTCAATTATTGTGATCACCTTCTAAATTAGGCAACTTTGATGAAGTATGTACGTACGTCTTTCATCAGATGTGAATCGTTAGTTTCAATCTTGAATATAATTATTAATTACCTAAGTGTAAATTGTAGGAATGCTCTGCCTACAGACATCATCCACGAGCGCTCACGTCATTGTAATCTAATAAACAATACCTATTTCGCATCGCGATATGGTTTAGTGCGTTAATCACGTTATTCGTGAAATTTCAATGGCTTCCGTGCTTCGTTGTTCTCAAATAGCATTTGTGTATTTTTAGACGTGGAGCATAATTCGCGTTCATCGAAATAGAAACCGGTGACTATCCAGCACTGGCATTCACTAGAAACGCATTTTATTAGCAAGGCATATCAGAAGTTCGAATATTGCCATCAATTAATATTTCTCGGTCTTCATACGTACCGTCACATACCCCTTTGGGGTTTTGCAGAATATCAGAAGTACAACTGTGCTGAAAATCTAGTAATTGACGCATTCTATATTTTTCTTTCGATTCCATTCTAGCTTAAGAGTAAATATATCTGAAAGAGAAGATGATTTAGTGAGTACGGACGAACATGATGATATCTTTATTGATTACCCAAAATCGATTCTGGATTAGCTTTTTTAATCAAAGACGTCTGAGTTCACATCTAAAGTTGTATTAAATATAAATGTGAGAGTTGACCATTTATTTGCGCAACTGTGCCGCGTAAACACAGCTCGATTAAAGTACTCATTCAGTGGCGAAGGAAATAGAGCAGACCCTACTTTCCTCCGCTCGCTTTAAGTGTAAAAGTTTGGTGCCGCGTAATCTTACACCATGTTACCAAGAGCTAACGCACACTTGCAACTATTTGGTCGTGTTCAGTAAATGACTAGTGATTTTAAACCTACCAGAATAAATATTTTACAGTGTCTAGAAATCAAGAAGCAGAAAATTACCCTACTCCGTCCACATGATTTTAACTGAAAGTTGATTCTTGTCATGAAGGTAGATAATGCGACATTAACTTGCCCGCCTGAACCCAATCCCCCATCGCGTAAAGTTCTGGAATCTTTCTGACCTTAAAGTTCTACGTTGCTTCCTGACCCCATTATCGACGACTTCCGTGGCCGAGTGGTTTGTACGCCGGGTTTCATGGTGTCACCGACTCAAGAGGTTGAACCCGGGGGTTCGGATCCCGGTGGGGGCAGATGTTTGTGTGATGATTACGAGCATTTATACTCCAGTCATGGATGTTTAATATGTATTTCTATAAAAATATATAGTAGTAAGTATATTGTACTGTATATGTATACTATCCGTTACCCTAGCATCCCATAACACAAGCCTTACAGTGCTTACTTTGGGGCTAGGCTAATTGGTGTGAGTGTTGGAAATATTTATTTATTATAGAGCTTTTATAGATATCACCGCGGCGCCACCGCGTTTTCTAGCTGGTCATTATCATTAGCCTATTTAAGTTCCTACTGCTGCGGCATCGACATTATTGTCAAAAATACTTATTAAAATATAACATTGTGAGTACCAAACATACATATCAATCAATAACTGACATTTCTTTGTATGTATTGGTTTATCGCCATGATATATATATTTATATATATAAATATATGGCGATATATATTTATACATAAAAATGTTAGGCCAACCCTTTTAGCATTAGTAACTAATTATAAAATAGTAACTTATAGCACAAAAGATAGAGAAAGTAATATGTCCGATTATGTATTGTTGTGAAACTTGTCGCCAGTGAAAATTCTAGGGAATATTATAGTTAACTAAAGTCCAAAACAAAATTTTGTATAACTATTGAGCAATACCATAATTAATCTGTAACATGCAAGAAAGAACAAGTTGTAACAGTGGTTGAGATTTTCCATTTGTAACAAATACACAAAAATATCTATGTGAATACTGTTTTTTTTATTTATATACGAGGCGCAACAAATGCCTCACCTGATGTTAACATCCCGAGACCGCAAGTCTTCAAGCGAGTACATAGACATTAAAAAAATCTACAGGCTTTACGTCTGTCAAATACGAATTTCCACACAACACAGGGAAACGAATACTCATCATAGAAACAAAAGAGTATTGAATAGTAGAAAAAAATGTTTTTATCTAAAGTAATGACAACAAATTTCGTAAATTATATGTCATAACTTATATAACATGTGGCGCGGAAGCAAAGCACTGACTTGTTAGTCTGTTTTTTTTTGCTGTGTAGGTACTTAGTCATGACTCGCGGCAAAAAGTATTAGCCTTGGAAACGTTAATGTTGAATACACGTGATCGTTATACATCAAGCCTTCTGAAGTCCGGTTCATTCCGTGGACTAAGAGTTTCGGGCAAAAAGTGTATTATTTTGAGGAACTTTTGGGATGTATGGCAAATGTACGTTGATGCATGCGTACTGAGTTTAGACTAATGTTAGTAATTGATGCGGGAATAGCAATCACAAAGAAGCTCAATTGCAGTCACGAAAGCGGGACACCGTTATATCATAGTAAAGAGATGCGTCCCCTGCAACAATTCCGTCAAGACTACGTTAAAAAACATACGGTTCTAGATAGACTTTTCTATGGGTCGACTTGAAAGATATTAAGCATTGTATGTGTTTCAGAAATCTAGTAAGTATATTATGTGCGAAATTTGCTTCGCTCTGATTTCTAATTTTAAATTTATAGCTTTAGAGCTCTTACAATAAAGCAGCTCAATATGAACGAATTTAATTGCGAGAAGTTCGTTTGGTACTTATCATAAAAGACGTTTATTTCTGTGGATGTAATATACCAATAAGTAATGAAATCGTAATATTGTAAATCTCTTACATATTTTTTAAATGTTTTTAAAGATAGTGATGAGTCATTTAATGTCCGTAACAACAAGGATTCTTGATTCGCAAAAAACTACTGGAGAATGGTCGTATTATGCCACTGATTTCAATAAAGAACATTGATTTAAGTAACTTGATAACCATATATTTTGGGTGGTAATCGAATATGTTTTTTGTGAGCGACACCACGCTACTTTTTATTGCTCCGATTCCAATTAAATAAAACGTTTGCTATGAAGTTCTTTAACATCGGCAACATAAACCCAAAAGTATATAGACACCTTTTGATTTAATACATTTATCAAGTATTAGGGTAGGGAAATTAGGGGGAAGGGCGTTCATTTAAGGAAAACATGGTGTATTTTTATTTATTTTAAATCAAAATTAAGAATAATAACAAAGTCTCTAATTATCGAGTAACCTTCTGTCTGTTTAAGTAGGAGAGCCCAAGCAGGGATTTCGGGATTTACTCGAGCGCGGCAGAGTAAAACTCTTTTTACGATTAAGGCAGTGGTCTAAAAAGGGGATCACTTCAAATTCAGCTGTTTGATAGAAAAAAGTAATAGGTAAGTTTAGAGCGGAAACTGACGATACGAAGCGAATTTATTGCTTTAATCACTACACATCTTGGAATGTTTATAATGTTTAATGAGGTCAACATTTTATTATTATTGTGAAACGCTGTGTTGTATATTTGTTACTCAACATTATCGCCGAGTGTTTGGCTAACAAGAATGAACCGCAGCGCTGGCAGTGAGACTCCGCTTGATATCATCGGTCTAGTCTTTAATTTGGTTGATTCCAGTTGTTTATTGCGATGAGTAACAGCTTAAACGATAGAATACCACCCACACTAGCGAGCGCCGCGGCAGTTAATACTTATACAGCAGGTTAACACGAATGTTACATGGTAGACCATGTCAATGAAAACTGGTATTCTACTAGTAATTTTCCATAATAAGTCGACTTTTAACTAAGTCACATTCACTTTAAAAAATATATGATATCTAATAACATTTCGATTTTAACCATTTGACTGCTAGATTTATTAATCTTAAGAATAATCCGCCCGGGTAGTATGCAGGTTCGAATCCCGCCCGGACAGAGATTACTATTTTCTAGTAATTTTTTGACAGATTTTTCAATCTAAGTAATTTTGCACATACATATTTCTATATGTTGTGGTTATTATTAAAAATAAAAACTTTGGATTTTTGTCATCCAACGAACAAATAAACTCGTTTCCAACCGATCGTTATGTATTCGATTTCATCATCAAAGTAAGGGCAGATTTTCAAAATTATTTTTGTAATCGGAAGGTTCCCACCACATTTTAAGATTTCATATTTCGTGCGAGGTATCGTATTAACGAGATTTTTATAAAGACTAAGTTGATATTGTTTATAAAAAGTGGAAAATGAAATCTTTGTTACAAAAATAAAAACCAACTCTATAAAAACAAAAGCACTTAAAAGTAAAAATAATACATATTCTTTACTAAAAATCTAATTGGTTGGCATAGCACCGACACTAAATGTTAGTTTGATTTTAAATGTACATATGCATAGGTAGAAAATATAATGTATATTTTAGTGCTTTTGTTTTATTAGGTACGGCAATTCACCTACTGTTTATGTGTTTCATACGCCAGCAAAATTCGGTCCTCGTTGACATACTTAACCAATCCACATTTGCTGGAGAATAAACCTTATAGTACACACTATAGAATATAATTTCCCGTATTCTTCGAAAACATCAATAGGTCCGCCTATATTGGTGTGAAGGACAATAATTATACTAATTAAAGACCCAATTTCTATCTTTAGCTTTAGCCAAAAATCACTTATCGACCAAACGGTTAGCTTAATGAAAAGCTAGAGTAGCCTTGCGATCATTTCAGTGTTATTGCAATAAAATTATAAAATCACAGTAAGCAAGAGATATCTATAGTTTTAAAGCAAAAGGGGGATTATGAAGCCAATCCAATAGATTTTGAAATAGGTGTTATAATAAAATAGACTTTTCATAGATGTTTAATTAAATAATATTTGCATATAAAATCAATAATACTCGAAGTTTTTAATATACACACATCAAAAGTGTCTAGGGATCAACATATATTTTTGCAATAACTTTTCTCCTGATTGATATTAATTAAAATTTTCTTTAAGGATTCATCAAATAAAGTGTTTTCGTTTGTCACAGTAACGATAAACCAAGTCACCTTTGCATTAATAAAGAAATTTGCCATTTTCCTAATAAAGGGATTTTTGACATTTGAACCACTAACACAAAAGTTCGAAAAAAAGACTGAAATAACAGTTTTCTCTAAAATTTTATTGGGTAACTTAAACAATTAATAATCCGTATTTCTACCGCGAACACTAACAACACAAGAACATCGGTTTGGCATACTCAAAATGAGTTCATCCAAATCACGCTGTGGAATGGCCGCCCATGTTCGTTGCAACAACAAAAAAGGTCTTCTTGCGACTGGATACCCTCCATATTCGGCAGAGCTCTTCTCTGTAGCATATCCCATGCATGCTCAATCGGGTTCAAGTCTGGCGACTGAGCAGGCCAGGGCAGGACATTGATGTTAGCTGCGGCGAGAGTCTGTCTTACAACTCTTGCGGTGTGCGGTCGTGCATTATCATGCATTAACTGAAATAAGGGACCGATTTGCACTTGTAGAGGAACGATGACGTCTGATACAATCGTCTCAGCATAAATTTGAGCGTTGAGGTTGCCTCTGATCCAAATCAACTCAGTTCTTCCGCCGATCCAAATACCCGCCCATACCATGATGGTTCCACCACTATAAGGATGGACTTCCTGGCAGGATTTTAATCGCTGTTGGCGTCCAGGGGTTCTCCAGTGTCGTATACGTCTTGTATCCGGTCTCATACCAAAACGAGACTCATCAGAAAAGCACACGAAACGCCATTGTTCTTCTGCCCAATTTCTGTGTTCAAGAGCCCATTGATATCGAAGCCTACGATTGTGCATTGCTATAGGTGGTACCCGTAGCGGTCTTCGGGAATGAAGGTTCACTTCATGCAAGCGGTTTCTGACTGTTTGATCGCTAATTAAGTTCCCTGAAGAGTGATGAAGCCTCACGGCTAACATCATGGCGGTTATTGTTGGAGCTCTTCGAGTTAAGATTTGAATGTATCGGTCTTGTCTCCGTGTGGTGCAGCGATACCGTCCTCCATGGCGCTCAGCCACGGTACCAGTGCTTCGGTATCGTGTCCAAAGTCGACTGATAACACTCTGACTTGTATTCAGAGCTAAAGCCACAGTACGTTGCCGGGAACCAGCTTCTATCATTCCCACGGCTCTGAGCATTTCTTCCCTGCTTAAATGACGTCGCCGCTCCATAATAACGTTGGTTTTAATCAGTAGTAGGGAAACAGTAGCACTAATAATGTCTTCAATGCGTTGTATGTTTTTATAGGGAAAATATTGACAGCTGATTTTCATCTTTTACTCGAATTTGATTCACAGTTCCTGATTCAAATTATGAAATGCACCAAAAAGGATCCATATAAATTTATAAAATCATAAATTTATTACAAAGCCACATCTCAATCTCAAGAAATCCGCATAAAAATGCTTGATCCCTAGACACTTTTGATGTGTGTATTTTACAAACTGATATAGAAGTTGTAATACTTTCCAGCTGCCTTTTTATTTTTTTTCTATAATTCACGTAACGCGATTTTATTTTGCTTTGTATTAAATAATATTTTTCTTTTTTTACAGGAGTGGTTTACAAGAGGATCAACTCTGACCATTGAGACCAAAAGTGCTTAGGCACCGAGAAATCTTCAAACGTTTGTGTTACAATTTGTAATTACAAAACCTTAAGTCAATTACTAAGCGTACAGCAACGTGCGTAGAGCTGCGCCGTTGTCGATACGCGAATATCGATAAGCCGCGCGTCGCGTAGCGCGGTGATTCGCCTGTCGCTGCAAAGTCGGTGCTCGCCGGAGTCAAGTGACTCGGCCAGCACGCCCCGCCACAGCCGTGGATAACCTCGGCCAGAGCCCCCTACCGGTGAAGAGGCTGCACGAAGCGCTTCAGAGTGCGCAAGTGAAGCGCCAGCGGCTCTCCCCTCCGTACCCCGCTCCCCCCGCACCCCTTCACCCGATCCACCAGCTCGCGGTGCACCAGCACATCAAAGTGCAGCAGAGCATAGTGCAGCAGAGTATCGTGCAGCAGCACCAGCTGAACCTAGCCCACCAGTCGCTCCAGAACTTGCAGCAGCAGAGTTTGCAAGCGCAGCAAAGTCTTCAGGCGCAACAGAACCTGCAAGCGCAGCAGAACTTTCAGGCGGCACAGAGCCTGCAAGGCCAGGGGCTGCAGGCGACGAGTCCTGTGGCGACAGGCGGTGTGGGCGTGCAGCAGGCGGCAGGAGCGACTCAGGGCGCGCTGGTGCCGCCGCAGCAGGCTTCGCCGCGAGCCGCCTCCCCTCAACACAAGAACATGGAGCTCGCACTCTGCCAGAGCATGGACTCCGTCAACACGGCCACCACTGAGGAAGAGGTGAGATTTCAATTGCATGTTTTACTTATTTGATAGTGTTTCATATATGAATTTAAAATAAGAAAACTACATAATATTTTATTAAATACCCATTTGATAGTTACGGGTTCGACTCCCGTCTGTTATATGAGTACATTCATTTACTTTTTGCAAAATTAAATTAATTGATTCTTAGCGATATTTTTAATGTTACTTACTCTATAGTTTTTAGTTGTACTTTACTTAACTGCAAATGGGAAGAACCAAATCCTTAAGATGGATTAATGCACGGCCATTTATCATAGTATTACAATTGCAAAGCAACGCGGCTTTCTAGCGGTTACAATGGGGAAAACGTTCAAATATACAATAAGCATTCACTTATACAATAAAAGGAAATTTTCCTCGTGAAAACAACAGCTGTGAAACGAAGGATTGTATCGGTTTTTACTTCTAATACATTTTGGTATCTATTCTCGCTATGCTAAGGTTTGGTTTCGTTATTCGATTTATGTGTCAAAACCAGGGGACCACGCGGCGCCATGTCATTTCCGAGTGGCATTCTGAATTGTCTGTAAATGATTCTTTAATAAAATAATAGGATAAGCTTTTTGGAATAGATAATTTTAATAAGAAGAAAATTAAATGGTTGCTTGCATCCCAACCGGTTTCAATGTTTACTTTAGAATTTGTTTGTTATATTAGTAGCGTTGCATCTTTTTGGGAAAATTAAATTACCTTCGTACAGAGTCTACCCTGAGAGTATTCTCAGGGTAGTATCCTGCTGTTGCGACTTCATTACTGCTGCATCTAATTGCATCCGTTAAGTACTTCCTGTCTAAAGGCGACCTCGCTGTTTTCTGAAAACCCACACACTTTCATCTTATTCCCATACAACACTGCTTCAAGTTATTTGGTCGAATTCGCTTTTCTCCGAATCACAAAGCCATTACCTTCATATCTGTAATCCACTCAAGCATCGGGTGAGGAGCAGTAAACACCTTCTACAAAAGAAAGTCACCATATTTTATTTTGAACAACCCTATGGAAAAACGATAAAATCCTTTAAGCAAACTGCGGAGGCGACGAGAAGTGGGCAGCGGTTGTGTTAGCCGAGACAAATAGAGTGGATGTCGCTTCAGCGCTCTCGGCCGCTCCTCTTTACGGACAGCTTTATAAATAGGTTGTTTCCATCGCGCATTGTACTACTACCTCTCGCCTGTTTGCGGAATTATCTGCTAAGCTGACGTTTTCTTAGTACTGTTTATGTGCGTGCACATATTACTAACAACGTTTATCGTACCAATTTTCTTTTTATTTAGAACATCCCGCTATCTCATTCTTGATTCAATGTTTTTGTAAAGGACCGTGCATTTTTTTGGTTACCCTTATTTTTTCGTCTGTGTAATTCCGCCGGATAGCGAAAGATGCGGGTTCGAATCTCGTCTGAAATATGGAACGTGTGCATTTTTTAAAAAGTAAAAATTTCTTGAGATTTAAGCGTTAAGCTGTAAAATGCTTTAGAAATAAAAATATAATAATAAACTGCTTTTGCTTAACCTATATTTAAAATGTTTATATTTTCAGTTTTGCCGTTAACCAAGTTCAGGTTGTTCAAACTGACAGTTAGCAAATGCTACAATTTAAGTAAAACCTTCATGCGTTAAGTACAGCCTAATTTAAACTTTACGCCTGAAATTTCCTTGATATAACTCGTGGTTAAACTAGTCCAAATGCATATTTCTGGGAGCTCAACTCAAAATCTAGAATGTTCAGAGCGCGTCAAAGTTATATCATAGACTTTTACATGACATTAAAGGTTAAATGAAGTTTAAGCACATGTAAATAAGTCTAGTTTTCTATCTAATTATTATTATTCATTCTCTAGTTAAAACTGTGTGTGTCTCATTTCGTATTTACATACATATAAGACTTGGACACACACTTCTTAAAACGTATTAATATTATATTTTATCTCATATTAGAAAAGTAAGAGATGCGTTCAAATCATACGAGATTAAGAAAAAATTACTTACAATATTTTACTAAACCAGCAAACGGTTTGAAACCGTGTCTAACTTTTATGTAGATGACCGTTAAAATTCTGTATACGGGTAGTTATGAACATGTCTATAATGGCAACAGGTAGTAATTATGCGAACAAAACTACCTTCTTTCAAATGCCAACAACCTTTGTGACATAATTCATTTTGATATTATAGCAATGACGCGAACCGACAAGATAATTCAGCATTTTAAATACAATAAGTATCTACAAAGTCAGAAACATTCAAAGTGTTTCTTTTGAAGACACAAATTATAATTTTCTTATCATAAAAAGTTATAAGTTGGCACAAAGAATCAAGTAATTAAAATCCGAGTGTAGGTACTAAGTAGTACTAATATAACCATTAGTACAAACAGCGTATGTCATGTAAGAAGTAGGTACTTATATTGCTCGTTTCAACGACTTTGGTTAAACGGATTCTAGAGCTGAATAGTTCGAGGAATAGTTAGGGCCGATTCACACCGGAATAGCAGCGGCCCGCAGCGACTTGGTGATTTTTTTTTCACTGAAATCGGTGTGAAATAATTTCAAACTTTATCTAGGTACATACTTATAAGACCAGTAGCGGTTGAAAACCTTGAAGAAGTCGCGCGATCGGGCGGTCGACAATAATGGCGGGTGAGGCCGCCCGCTCGTGAGGCAGCCCGCTCGCGACACATTCCTTTTAAGTGTGTAGATAAAGTTTAAAATTATTTCGCGTCGCTTTCAGTGAGAAAATACTCCACGCTTCGCTGCCTGTCGCTGCCATTCTGGTGTGAATTGGCCCTTATGCTTCAACTATGCGCCCGTTGTCTGAGGCGTTAATGTTAATTTTGCTATAGCCGCTTTGATGTGTCCGTAGTGTTCACTGGTAAGGATTATGGAGCTTTGCTCACATAACAAGAGTGCAACCATTCATGCAGCCTGCCTGGCTGAGGGTTCCATGAGAATCGATTAAGGTTCCTAGCTAGACACAATAATGGTATCTCTTTAAGCATGTATATTTAAAACGAACTATTTCCCCTGGTCACGTCATAATTTAGGAAGCAATTCATTGACTTCATCCATATTTTTTTTGTAAGCACAGAAAACTTATTCTATACTCATTATACTTTTTAGAAGGATATTCCGGAAAAAAATAGAATGTTGCGCGAAACTAATGTTAAGTGGGACGAAGTCGCGGTCGACAGCTAGTTGCATATAATTTTTAGCTTTTAAATAGGTGGAGTAGAACTTTATATTGGGGATTTTGAGAGCAACCAGGAGAAGCGGCAATAAGAGTATTTTTGAGAAAAAAGAGAAAAATGAAAGTATTAATTGCAATCAAATGAAAAATAGTTTATTAGTTAGGTTTTCATATCTTTATAGGTGTTTGATTTGTTTATAAATTAACCTCAGTCATTGTTCCTTAATTGCTACTAGAACAATTAATAGTGCAATTTGATCACATATGAGGAAATATGATAACCGTGACAATGAATGAACAGTAGAGACGCAGTTAGCTGCGCAAGATAAGCGTAACACAAGGCTGTTTCGGATGAATTGAATAGAATTTGTTGCGTGCTAAATATGATGATGTAGAGTATTATAATCGCTATGTAAATCTAGACATGCGTTGTTATGGAAACAGTTAAATTGTTAGTAATTGCTTCCCTTTAACTACCTAATTTATATAATTAGATTTTGATATGACTGAAATAAAACTGCAATAAAAATACACAAAATATTCTGTGAAATTTTTAAAAGCCTAGTTATTACGGTTCATGAGACACAGCCCGCTTACTGAAGTGGCTGGCTGACTGAAGCGGAGGTAGATATAGGATTCTGTTGTCAGAATATTGTCTAAGGTCATCACTATCATCATATTCTTATTATTCATAGGGAAGGCCTGTGCAGTGAGGTCACTAATAGGCTAATGAGTCATCTCATACATCATATAGAACTAGGGTTACCAACTTTTTTCTATCAAATATAGTATTTACGAAGCTACCTCTAAAAATGTAGTAGCTGGCAAAAAAATGGAAATAACATATAATATGTGATTAAAACATTTACTTTATTTTTGAAATTAATATAATTTTGCTGCTCTATGTCGTAATAATTAAATTTTTGTTTTAAGAAAGCTCTTACTGGCAAAAATCTGATTTAAGTGAAATATAGTAGTTTCGCCTACTATATTTTTTTTAGAAATATAGTATTTGTTCCCCTAATATAGAAGGTTACTATTTTATATATTATATAGTAGGGCTCAAACTTACATGGAACAGCACGGACGCAGCCAGGAGGGGAGTAGCCATATGCAGTTTCCCCTTTGTCAAAGTTAGAGAAATGTGGAAGATTTAGTGCTGCATTATGTGTTTGTTTATGTGTTAGTGTCGTGATAAGTTTTTTTAAGTACCTGGCCTATGTATGCAAGTAATACCAATTAAGTTTTTTTTATGTATGTAGACATCTATGCACATTCCTGCTCGCAAAATTTTACAGAACGATTTGAATGGTAAGATGTCGCTATGGCTACACCCTTCCAAGTTGTTCTTTAGCTGAAATATATGATGAATATCATGATGATGAAATTGGCTTTTGTGAAAGACGTTCATATTGTTCCAATGAGTTTTCACTTGCGTAAATACGGACTTGGTAACTAAGTAAAGTTACTACCAATATCCGCATTTACGCGAGCAGTAGTAGTATTAAGTGTATGCTGGTTTCCCGGACGTCTCCGCGTCTCGTCTCGCAGGCGCCGGTTTGTCTGGCGCCCGCAAACTATGGTATCTATTTTAGTTTGACAATGGTGCGCTATGCTGACGCGCTGCGAGTAAGTTTCGATCGCACTCGTTCCTTATTCAATCGTGTGAGAGGGAAAAACAAGCTTCGTCGAGTTCTCTATAACTGATAGATAGGTACCTAGGTAATAAACGCGTTATGTTGGGTTAGTGTACTTGTGGCAGTATTTATTTTGTGATATTAAAAGGCCCAATTCAATTCAATTCCTTTATTGCATATCCACAATGTACAAAAAGATGTTAAATATAAGTTATGACAAAATACGATCATCAAATGAGAGATAGAAGAGAGGAATTAACTTACTCTTGAGGAACTTGCAGGTGCAAGCGGTTAGCGCGTCCCGCTTGCGATCGTGGAGGTAAAGCAACTTTCGCAATGACCGGTCAGCAGATGGGTGATCAAAAATGCACCTATTATACCGAGCTCCTCCATGCTACGGCAAGTACGTTAAGCCGTTGGTTCCGGCTGCATCTGCAGTCGTTAGCATCTACCAATACACACTGAATCTGCGTGGTGGGCCATGACCAAATTTTCCGACTCCATCCATAGAGAAGATTTTCACCCCAACAGTGAGGGCATTAATAAAGCGATGTTAATAATCATGAAACAATCAAGCTTGTGCCTGCAAAATCAGAAGGACTTAGAATCCCCAATGAGTATGACTTAATATTTAAAATTTTGCACAGCTTAAAGCTTTTTGAAACGTCAAAGTCAATTTAATAGAACTTTTTTTAAAACACTTTATACACACGATCGTTTATCTTCTTCTTCAACATGCTTCAGTTAAACTTTAAAAGTGTTAAATTTATACTTACAGTATAAGATGGTTCTTTGAAGTTTTGCTATTCGTAAACATAATATTTTTTGATTAATGTCGTCATAGAAAAAAACAGATTCAGTATATTTATAACGGAATCCTTTTTATCTTGATAGATTTTAAAAGCAAATACTTAAGTTTCATTTAATATACTTAAAGCCACACTCAGAAAAGTACTTTTAAGTTTGACTTAAATTGATTGCACTTTCTTTGCAATAACAATAGAAAGAGAAGACACGTGATTAATTGAGCATTAAAATTTGAAATTTTTGAGTTTATCGTAACTTCAAATGTTATCACTCGAAAGGATCAGATCTGAGGATAAAAGACTTAATGTACTTAAGGGGATGGGGGCACAACATAACAAAGACGGAATATCTGTGGCTTGACCGAACTCTAATCTGTAAACTTTGATGTTTCTCTTCTCTTCGCCCGTGTACGAAGACGTGCACGTTCTTTGTCCTGAAGTTTGGGCCAAAGCGGCCGAAACAAAACGAAAATCACTCGACCAATCGCGCGTCTAATCGGTCGATCAATCGCGCGACTAGTCAACCGTACCGGGTAACGGCACCAACGGCCGGCGGCCGCCGACGCAGACAATACCGCTATGGCTTCCCGAAGCCCGTGACAACTTTGTTTGTAAGTACTTTCGCATTTCGCTAATGCAACTTTCAGGAGTAACTTTACGGTTATATTTGTCAGTTTATGCTTGTTGACTATTTTATGTGCAAGAGTTACTTACTTTCTGTTCGAGTCAATTCGTGAGTTTTGGAAACCTCAAAAATTTTAGATTTATTTTAACCCGTTGCAGTTATACCTATACAAAAAAGTCCACTATCGTTTATAAAGATTATATTATGGAACTACTTTTATATCTAATATATAAAATTCTCGTGTCGCGGTGTTTGTGGGTAAACTCCTCCGAAACGGCTTTCCCGATTCTCATGAAATTTTGTGTGCATATTGGGTAGGTCTGAGAATCGAACATCTATTTTTCATCCCCCTAAATGTTAAGGGTAATCCGCCCCTAAATTTTTTCTTTCAATTTTAGATAATTTATTTTTTATTTTTTTTATGATACATTATACAAAAATACATACATCCCTAAATTTTCAACTTTCTACCACCAACCCCTAATTATTTATGGTGGTACGAAGTTCGCTGGGTCAGCTAGTATTTTTATATAATTTTTAAGAAAAGCTAACAAAAAGCGTACGACTCGCTTGGACTCGCGACCTCCAAAGCCTACAAACTCCTGAGATACTAGAGTTTGATTAGTGATGCATTTATGTGTTGCTTACCCTGACCCCATTCTTTACCCCGAGGAACCCTGGAAAAGAAACTTTACTTACCTACAAGAAACAACACTAACCAAAGTTAGTGTTATGCTATGATATCTTAAGTTAGATAAAAAACTTGCAAAAGTTATTTCATATTCTTGGCAGGGAATACTCAGTGGATCCCTATTTAATATTCCTCTTAAGGCAGGTTCTTCCTCTATTAGATGTGCTGAAATTTTACAAACGTTTGTGGTGGTAAAAAGAAACAATTTATAATATTTTTTAAAACTCGCCTAGAGCTCAACTCGCATGAATTTTTATGTTTCCGCGCACGTAATTAAAACACTCTCCGTGCTTTTTTAAAGCGTGTCTTTCACAAATAAATTACAGTATTTTTTTAAATTATAAAGTTATAAAGCGATAGCTATGACTGTTGATTATGTATTTTGCGCAGACGACCATTTTGACCCCGCAGGAGATGAAAGGGCAAAGAATTCACTTCATGTTTATTAACGTATAATTTTTCGCTTTTCTAACTTAAATAAAACAAACATTTATAAAAATTTATCGTAATTTATTGAGGATTAACTTGATCTGAATGAATATCGGGACTAATTTTAAAAAATATCTGTGATAAAACACTCGTATAGTATGCAAATATTATTAAAAGTATGTGAATATGAGGCCAGGTGTAAATAAACCGCAAGTAAAATAAAATGTATTCCCACGAAGAAATAATAGTTCCCGAGAGCTGAATAGATACTACATCATTTGCGACAATCGTCGTCGAAATGATATCCTAAGATACAAAATATAGCATATAATTTATCCTGTATTTTATTTTCCCTTTTTCATTGAATATAATAAGTATGAATAATTATCTTGTTAATCATGAAAATTGAAAATAAGCGCTCGACGCGGAAAATACATTACAACGAAAATTGAAAGAGAACAAACCGGTTTAGCGGATATCGTTTTCGCGCTCGAAAATCCCTTAAGCATCTGCCAATATTACGCAGATCGGAGTAACATCTCCGAATAGAAAATTATTACCTCGCTCGAGTTCAATCGCTGAGACATTCTCTTCGGTGCCATTTTAAGAGAAGAATTTCCCGCAGAGTGGAATATAGACACCTCGACCGTTTCAACAGTTTGTCCACCTAATTTGTTCGTCGGCGCTCGACTGTAAAAACAAATAGCTGCTCCCGCATTTCCCCTTACAAGCAGAGAAAGACAGACGACGCCACGAGAGGGGTGAACGGGAGGGATAGTTTCCCCGTGCTCCGCGTGAATGAACGATTGCTGTTTACGCTCAAGCTTTTGTCTAGTTCAGTTCGCATCTTGTTTGTGGAGTGTTGGAAAGAGGTTCCTTTGTCCATTAACTGAATAATAATTAATCGAGTTTTATCTAATCCTCTCTGGCTCCGGTTACTCGCTCTAAACTTTTAATTGAATCCCGTTGAACGTTTTTGACTTTTTGACGTTAGAATAGTTGTGGTTTGGGATAATTTTCGGACAACGCGTAGTTTTGTTAGTAGTTTTACCTAAGGTATGTAAGTACTCATACGAGCTTGGTATTACATTATCAAAGATGTGATTGATATCTTCAGCTAACTGTAGATATACATAACTATGGACAATATTTATGGGTATATCTCATAGGATGATATGATGAATCAAATTTTGGCGAAATTTGGTCTACAGATATTGCGAAAACGCGGATAATAATTTAGACTTAGGCTTATAATATTGTATGGAAATATCAGTACCAGTTTGCCAGTGAATTTGTTAAATATGAAAGATACCAGTTTTTTTTACATAACAATAAATTGGATAATATGACATAAGTAATGGGTGTTTATACTAACTGTGGGCAACTATGAGATTAGGCACTGCTTGGCTGATCATGCCCGTTAGCAGTTTTCCGGTGCAGTGCACACGCCTGCGCCTCCCTACTCTTGTTGCACCTTAAATTACCGACGATCACCCGCTAAGCAAAGAGTTTAAAACATCGCCCGTTTGATGTTTTTTAAACGTCCCAAAAGGAAATTTAAGAATGAAAGAGTTAATTACCCATGTCGTTCGGGGAGTCAAGTTTTATCGGCTATTTTCTACGGACTTTCTATTTCGACCGTTTGCTTTTTATTAACTGAGAATGAAAACTGCTCTTGCACCGCTCTAGCACAATTTCAACGGTTTAGTGAAAGTACCCGTGCTTTGTTGTAAAATCAATTTAAAAGTTTAATTCTGTTTAGTTATATTTTCATAAAGTTTTTCTGACGCGGAGAAAGATCTCATTGTTTATTCTTTTAAATCTTCAAATGCAAACGTATGAAGCAAAAACTACATTAGCTTACGCTACTTCGACTTTCAGTTTACGCGGGTAACAAATCAGTTGCTTGCATTACATTCTTTAGCTTAAGTGTCTTTTACTGCATTCACGGCTCGTTGCTTAATGTCCGCCAGCAGTAGGATGGCCGTGAAGTAATTAAGAGTAGTCCTAGCACTATGTATTAATTGTCCATTGTGCAGGACGCTTGGCAAAGCGCCAATATGGCGACCTACCTAAAGCTTTATGGATCACAACAAAATATTAATTCACTAAAATTGCCGCGCATTGATGGAATGGGCAGGTAGGTAAAACTACTTTTTTATAGACAAAAATGAAACAAAAATTATTAATTATAAATCTTTACAAATGCAGTCAATATGCATTTTATTGTGCTTAACTAAATACGAATAATGAAGAATGAATCAGAATATCAGGTGTGAGTGGAGTCCAGTCGCAAAGATAGATTATGCGGCAGAAGGTGTGCCGCACCAGTCATCACCTTGCCTGCCTGCACTAATCCCATAACCCACGGAGCCCTGGGGGCCAATGGCCTAACGGAATTACTATGGCTATCTTTATCGCTTACGATTTCATTTTATTATTTCCGATCGCCAAAAGTTTTCAAAAACCTAACGCTCATTTTTGGTGGTATTGTTATTACCAATGAAAAAAAAGGAAGAGCGCGAGGCATTTGAAAACCTCCGGCGGACAGAAATAACAACATGAAAACGTAAGCAATAGCAATAGCCATAACATTCTGGTTAGGCGATTGGCCCCCTGGAACCCTAATCACCAGCAGAAACACTACACCACCAAAAGGCAGTGTTATTTTACTGTAGTTTTCTGTAAGGTGGAGGTTGCTTCTTGAGACGGGCGCTCCAACTCGCCGAAAATCCACTGTGCCTTACTTCTTTAATATTATTTAACTTTAACATATGCTAGGTAAGTAAATAGTAAAACAAGACAATTGGATTATCGTTATTGATTATTATAATAATGACAATATATATAGAAAGACAGATATTAAACTCTCCGTCGTATATTTAAATCCCGCGAATAAGGCGGGAGGGAAACGCTGCAAGGACCTAATGAACCGCGGAAGACCCCCATGCAAGACGAAATCTGCGCCAGTCGTTACTGTGATTGCGGCCAGAAAATCGAATGTCGCGAGACGGGACGCTCTTTGTGCACGATGTACAGAAAGAAAAGACATTATAGTCTCCTTCGTATATTTAAATCCCGCGAATAGCGCGGGCGGGCAATGCTGCATGGACCTAATGAACCGCGGAAGACCCCCATGCAAGACGAAATCCGCGCCGGTCGGTACTGTGATTGCGACCAGAAAATCGAATGTCGCGAGACGGAAGGCTCTTTGTGCACGATCAATGGCGCCTCGATTTCTGATAACTTTCTTTCCAGTCTGCGTAGTGTAAGTTCAGCGCTACTGAAACGTCTATTTTACTAACTATAGCCGCCGCTAGATCAACGGACAACCCCTTTTCAATTAAAAGTAGGTATCGGTAAATCGAAAGAGGAATTCGCAATTTGGTCACGTACAATTTTATAAACTTCCATCCGTTCCCATTGTGACAGTTTTGATGAAATCTCAAAATTTATTGTAGTAAGACCTGCTCTGTGCGTTTCTTATAGCAGATTGTACTTTTTTAAAAATTTACTAAAAAAGTTGAAGTTTCTTTAATGTTTATAATTAAGTATATATTTAATGTACGAGTTACAATTTTTTTGTTACTGTGACAAGTATTTGCATTACTTTATTGCATTGCATTAAAGTATATGCATTTTATCTCGCCCAAGATTAACTAGTAGTTGAATTTATGAATATGACAAAATTTAATGATGATATGATGAATACGAGTATTGTAATGAATGACAAATTTAGTTTCATATTCTACGAATAGTTCAGTTATTTGGTGAGAAATATAGTGGTTATCTATAGGAGATGTTGTCTAAAAACTGCTTTTAAGCGCCATTTTTCCAATATGATGGCGCGAGCGGCAAAAATACCAGGTGGCAAAGTCGAAATCCGCAAAGAGTACCTCAAAATCTATAAAATTACCAATTTTCAAAACTCCCGGAAAACTTTCCAGGTAAAGCCAAATGACTGTATTAGAAGGTAAGGAAGGATAGATTGTATGCTACGAATAGTTGTGCTGGGTAGGGCTCTTTATTTTCCATCTATTATAGTGGAGGGAAATTTTCTCATCCATTTTCATTAATCTGCATAGAAGCTCACCGAGTCCAATTTCCTCTCCATAGCAATGTAATGCGTCAGCATTCTCCCGAGACAAACCATTTAAGTGACTTAGTATGTTTTAGTTAGTAGTTCCATATATATTTCTCTTTCAAATATTTAAGTGCGTATTTGGTACGTAGGGTATAATAATACGACTCGACAAAAATATAAAAAAGAATCGAGTTTTGTGCAAAACATTTCTGCGCTGAATAAAGTTTAATACTCTTAATTAATTCATAATTAAGTCTACGCCTGGGAGGTAGAAGTCTTAACGAAAGGTTTGTATTAGATTTTTATCTGAATATAGGAGCTGTCAGAAACTGCAAAAATCGGGAGTGATTATAAAAGAATGCAAATTGCAAAGGTAGCGAAAAATATGTGTAAGAACAGTGCCTTGTGGTGTTTTTTCTACGCATATCCCGCTCTAGACACGGCGTAAAGATGTGTGAAGTGTGTATGTTTACATTGTATGAATGTTCTCAGTAATTATTTTGATGACCACCGTTGCATGCATGGACTGTGGTGGAAATCCAATGGCCAGAAAGGGCCACTCTCTCAGATTGCGATATGCTTACAGTCCATTTTCAAACATGATGAATAATTCGCAATCTTGTTACCAGTACAAATTAAGTTCTTGCCTAGATGTGGTCACGTACGGGCTCGTTTTGTTTGGAATACGAAGGAGCTCATCGGTCTTGCTCGTTAAGCGCTGGAGCGTGCTTTTATTACAGCGAGGCGTGCGCTGCGGTCGGGCGTCGCCAGAATATTAAAATGATGCCGGCACTAGGTCATGCATATTGTCCCGTACCAATAACCGGCATGACGATGGCTCAACGCAACAACTCCATACCGGCCGGGGATATCTCGTTAACTATTAACCTGAGCTTGCATCTGATATCTATGGCCCGCCCAGACATTCTAAATGAGAAAAACTATAATATCCTCTGTTACACACAAGATAAGAAACATTTTTGGCAGTCACTCATAAAAAGAAAAGAAAAAAACCGAATTTCTTTAGCCTTTTTCCTAAGCAGAAAACACTTCTATTAAGCGAATTATATTAACAGAAGATTATTTTATTGAAATTCACTAAGATATTTTAAAGATGACTACATAAAAGAAAAATATACAGTCGAACACAGAACCTCCTCCTTTTTTTGAAGTCGGTTAATAAAAACAGAATAATGGAATAACATCACAAAATGTACCAATATTGGATTGAATATATCGGCATTAACTGTCAGACTACTATGGAGTTTGACAGTAGTCTGACAGTTAATGTCGATATATCGCTTTATCATATTCCGTTTCGGTGGTCATGCTAGAGGGGCTGGGGTAGATTTTTCCACTCTCAGTCGAGGTATGTCTATATTTTGTTCCCTTACCTTTATAAATTATAATACAGATCATGGTGTTGCTTATACTCGTGGTCATCTAGAAAATTGAAGAAACTTTTTCGCATGAGTGCTCGGGTTCAAAGGAAATAATTTTCTCTAGGTCCTCCCTTGGATGTTGTTACTACAAATCAAAGGGAGGATTTAATTTTCGTTAGATAAGATTTCGATACAATAAATAGAAGCACATAAATATATAATTTGCTTCTGTACTGTTGTGACTGTTTGGATGGTGCGTACTCAGAAAATGTACATTAAATAAAGATATATTTTTAACGTACCTTTGATTTGTGACAAAAAAATGTTCTGACGAGCTTCAATTTGAGAGAAAGAACGAAGAGAAAAGAGACATTCTGTGAGAAAGGTGGTTTGTTAAAGAAAGGAGTGAATGTTAAAAAGACGGCTGATCGCTAAGTATGAAAAAGGAATAATAATGCAGCAAATAGAAATAAATCAGGAACAATTAAGTAGTTGAAAGTTTTATACGAAACCACATAAAACTAAGCATAATGTCACTTTATTTATATGTTCTCTAAGGTGGAGGTTACTTCCCCAGATGAGAGCTCCTCTTCGAGCGACACGTGTTCTCCTATCTACAAACCAGCCCCCTAGCATGAGCACCGCGATATGATATATATCATGTTTTTATTACGCTCTATTGTCAAATTACCAGCCGTTTGACAGTAAGACACGATAAAAAACGTGATAAAATGTATAATGTGTTGCTCATGTTGCAGGAACAGGTCCTTTAAAAAGAGGTGCGAAAAAGCATTTGTGACCAACACATGCTTCTAAGTTCTTCACGCTTCTTTTGAAGGAGCAAGATGAAGATATCTATTGTGCCAAGGAAAACTGCTGCACGTCTGGACTTTACCACTCGGCATCTAATGGGATTATCATTTCTTTTTTGTATCTGGAAACTGAACCACCGGGAGTAGCACGAACAGGGTATCTAAAGACTCCACCCCGGCCATTTCACCCAGCCCGGAGGCTCGGTGAAATGAGCAGAGACCTACCATGTAAAAACCAGATTATAATCCTGCACCGGTCACCAGGCACCGCACTATGAGGATCGAAGTCCTCCTAATGCGTGCCGGGAGCGTGGGTAGTAACGTCCCCGCCCCCACGACAACGGCTAACTAGAGCCGAGGTCCGAGTCTCAGACACGCCCTCTACTTGAGCCAACCTCCTTAGGTTCGAGTGGTCTAGAGGCTCCAGACGGAGAGGAGACTCCCCCCGTGGGGAGATGCCATCCGCCTGGAATACCTCTAGAGGCACTCGCCAATTCTCGGCTTGAGGTCCCCTTAGGATCTCGCCCTCCCCAAACCTGGTGACGCTGTAAAGGTCATCTGCGACCAACAGCAAACACACTAAAAAAAAAGCGTAGTGATGTGGCGCCCTACAATAGACTGGTTTTTAAAAAAAACGGAATTAAACATTCCGGATTGGCTCGCGGATGACTCTCGACGTAAAGGATATAGGTGTAGTTAGACTAACTTGGTGTCAAATAGGTGTAATTAGACTAACTGGGTGTTAGCCCGCTCTCAGTGCAGTCATTTGAATGATTTATCAGACGTGGTAAAGTTTCCGCATGAATGACGGGTGCCTCCTCCAATGTTAGAATTTAATGTTAATTAGTTTCGAACATTTGTATTCTACGCTTTCACTGCAGCATTGACCTGTTTGCAGGTTGTGGTGTTCGACCGTTATCGTGTTCGATATTTTGCAGGTAGCATGGGAAATTAATGAGATACTACCTGTTGCTGGATTCATAGTCCGCGTTTTATTCAAATATTGTAATGGAAAAAAATCTATCGTAAGCATACGCTCTTTTTTCAGATGCCTCTGTAGGTGAGTGTGCCAGGTTTGACGTTGTTGCCACCTGTAACAATATATTTACTATATATATCATCTTCTATTGCCCTACCTTAAAACGGGGCGACTGGCGAATGGCGGTTAGCTCCTGCTTATACCTGGACCTGTAATTATCGCTGCCCTATCTAAAATACAACTCTGGCTACGGCCCTGGCCTATAACATCTCGGGTATCTCTTATCTATTAGACAAGTCCGTCCGTCTGTCTGTGGTGCTGTTTCAGCGGCCAAACCGTAAGAGATAGATAAAGAGAATATTTAAGTTATAAGTTAAGAATAGTCTGATAAGACTACAAACCGGATTTGAATAACGTAGCACTTCCGGTTTTCGAGAAATCAGGTTTTGGTGAACATTTGGTTCACTGGTTTGCTAGTAATTTATAATTTGGGACAATTCTTACTTATTTTAAGGCCCAAAGTCCTATGGTCGTGACAACTTTGTTATTTTGGTTTTATACAAAATAATGTGGCGACCTACCTAAAGCTTTATGGATCACAACAAAATATTAATTCACTAAAATTGCCGCGCATTGATGGAATGGGCAGGTAGGTAAAACTACTTTTTTATAGACAAAAATGAAACAAAAATTGTTAATTATAAATCTTTACAAATGCAGTCAATATGCATTTTATTGTGCTTAACTAAATACGAATAATGAAGAATGAATCAGAATATCAGGTGTGAGTGGAGTCCAGTCGCAAAGATAGATGATGCGGCAGAAGGTGTGCCGCACCAGTCATCACCTTGCCTGCCTGTACTAATCCGGAGCCCTGGGGGCCAATGGCCTAACGGAATTACTATGGCTATCTTTATCGCCTACGATTTCATTTTATTATTTCCGATCGCCAAAAGTTTTCAAAAACCTAACGCTCATTTTTGGTGGTATTGTTATTACCAATGAAAAAAAAGGAAGAGCGCGAGGCATTTGAAAACCTCCGGCGGACAGAAATAACAACATGAAAACGTAAGCAATAGCAATAGCCATAACATTCTGGTTAGGCGATTGGCCCCCTGGAACCCTAATCACCAGCAGAAACACTACACCACCAAAAGGCAGTGTTATTTTACTGTAGTTTTCTGTAAGGTGGAGGTTGCTTCTTGAGACGGGCGCTCCAACTCGCCGAAAATCCACTATGCCTTACTTCTTTAATATTATTTAACTTTAACATATGCTAGGTAAGTAAATAGTAAAACAAGACAATTGGATTATCGTTATTGATTATTATAATAATGACAATATATATAGAAAGACAGATATTAAACTCTCCTTCGTATATTTAAATCCCGCGAATAAGGCGGGAGGGAAACGCTGCAAGGACCTAATGAACCGCGGAAGACCCCCATGCAAGACGAAATCTGCGCCAGTCGTTACTGTGATTGCGGCCAGAAAATCGAATGTCGCGAGACGGGACGCTCTTTGTGCACGATGTACAGAAAGAAAAGACATTATAGTCTCCTTCGTATATTTAAATCCCGCGAATAGCGCGGGCGGGCAATGCTGCATGGACCTAATGAACCGCGGAAGACCCCCATGCAAGACGAAATCCGCGCCGGTCGGTACTGTGATTGCGACCAGAAAATCGAATGTCGCGAGACGGAAGGCTCTTTGTGCACGATCAATGGCGCCTCGATTTCTGATAACTTTCTTTCCAGTCTGCGTAGTGTAAGTTCAGCGCTACTGAAACGTCTATTTTACTAACTATAGCCGCCGCTAGATCAACGGACAACCCCTTTTCAATTAAAAGTAGGTATCGGTAAATCGAAAGAGGAATTCGCAATTTGGTCACGTACAATTTTATAAACTTCCATCCGTTCCCATTGTGACAGTTTTGATGAAATCTCAAAATTTATTGTAGTAAGACCTGCTCTGTGCGTTTCTTATAGCAGATTGTACTTTTTTAAAAATTTACTAAAAAAGTTGAAGTTTCTTTAATGTTTATAATTAAGTATATATTTAATGTACGAGTTACAATTTTTTTGTTACTGTGACAAGTATTTGCATTACTTTATTGCATTGCATTAAAGTATATGCATTTTATCTCGCCCAAGATTAACTAGTAGTTGAATTTATGAATATGACAAAATTTAATGATGATATGATGAATACGAGTATTGTAATGAATGACAAATTTAGTTTCATATTCTACGAATAGTTCAGTTATTTGGTGAGAAATATAGTGGTTATCTATAGGAGATGTTGTCTAAAAACTGCTTTTAAGCGCCATTTTTCCAATATGATGGCGCGAGCGGCAAAAATACCAGGTGGCAAAGTCGAAATCCGCAAAGAGTACCTCAAAATCTATAAAATTACCAATTTTCAAAACTCCCGGAAAACTTTCCAGGTAAAGCCAAATGACTGTATTAGAAGGTAAGGAAGGATAGATTGTATGCTACGAATAGTTGTGCTGGGTAGGGCTCTTTATTTTCCATCTATTATAGTGGAGGGAAATTTTCTCATCCATTTTCATTAATCTGCATAGAAGCTCACCGAGTCCAATTTCCTCTCCATAGCAATGTAATGCGTCAGCATTCTCCCGAGACAAACCATTTAAGTGACTTAGTATGTTTTAGTTAGTAGTTCCATATATATTTCTCTTTCAAATATTTAAGTGCGTATTTGGTACGTAGGGTATAATAATACGACTCGACAAAAATATAAAAAAGAATCGAGTTTTGTGCAAAACATTTCTGCGCTGAATAAAGTTTAATACTCTTAATTAATTCATAATTAAGTCTACGCCTGGGAGGTAGAAGTCTTAACGAAAGGTTTGTATTAGATTTTTATCTGAATATAGGAGCTGTCAGAAACTGCAAAAATCGGGAGTGATTATAAAAGAATGCAAATTGCAAAGGTAGCGAAAAATATGTGTAAGAACAGTGCCTTGTGGTGTTTTTTCTACGCATATCCCGCTCTAGACACGGCGTAAAGATGTGTGAAGTGTGTATGTTTACATTGTATGAATGTTCTCAGTAATTATTTTGATGACCACCGTTGCATGCATGGACTGTGGTGGAAATCCAATGGCCAGAAAGGGCCACTCTCTCAGATTGCGATATGCTTACAGTCCATTTTCAAACATGATGAATAATTCGCAATCTTGTTACCAGTACAAATTAAGTTCTTGCCTAGATGTGGTCACGTACGGGCTCGTTTTGTTTGGAATACGAAGGAGCTCATCGGTCTTGCTCGTTAAGCGCTGGAGCGTGCTTTTATTACAGCGAGGCGTGCGCTGCGGTCGGGCGTCGCCAGAATATTAAAATGATGCCGGCACTAGGTCATGCATATTGTCCCGTACCAATAACCGGCATGACGATGGCTCAACGCAACAACTCCATACCGGCCGGGGATATCTCGTTAACTATTAACCTGAGCTTGCATCTGATATCTATGGCCCGCCCAGACATTCTAAATGAGAAAAACTATAATATCCTCTGTTACACACAAGATAAGAAACATTTTTGGCAGTCACTCATAAAAAGAAAAGAAAAAAACCGAATTTCTTTAGCCTTTTTCCTAAGCAGAAAACACTTCTATTAAGCGAATTATATTAACAGAAGATTATTTTATTGAAATTCACTAAGATATTTTAAAGATGACTACATAAAAGAAAAATATACAGTCGAACACAGAACCTCCTCCTTTTTTTGAAGTCGGTTAATAAAAACAGAATAATGGAATAACATCACAAAATGTACCAATATTGGATTGAATATATCGGCATTAACTGTCAGACTACTATGGAGTTTGACAGTAGTCTGACAGTTAATGTCGATATATCGCTTTATCATATTCCGTTTCGGTGGTCATGCTAGAGGGGCTGGGGTAGATTTTTCCACTCTCAGTCGAGGTATGTCTATATTTTGTTCCCTTACCTTTATAAATTATAATACAGATCATGGTGTTGCTTATACTCGTGGTCATCTAGAAAATTGAAGAAACTTTTTCGCATGAGTGCTCGGGTTCAAAGGAAATAATTTTCTCTAGGTCCTCCCTTGGATGTTGTTACTACAAATCAAAGGGAGGATTTAATTTTCGTTAGATAAGATTTCGATACAATAAATAGAAGCACATAAATATATAATTTGCTTCTGTACTGTTGTGACTGTTTGGATGGTGCGTACTCAGAAAATGTACATTAAATAAAGATATATTTTTAACGTACCTTTGATTTGTGACAAAAAAATGTTCTGACGAGCTTCAATTTGAGAGAAAGAACGAAGAGAAAAGAGACATTCTGTGAGAAAGGTGGTTTGTTAAAGAAAGGAGTGAATGTTAAAAAGACGGCTGATCGCTAAGTATGAAAAAGGAATAATAATGCAGCAAATAGAAATAAATCAGGAACAATTAAGTAGTTGAAAGTTTTATACGAAACCACATAAAACTAAGCATAATGTCACTTTATTTATATGTTCTCTAAGGTGGAGGTTACTTCCCCAGATGAGAGCTCCTCTTCGAGCGACACGTGTTCTCCTATCTACAAACCAGCCCCCTAGCATGAGCACCGCGATATGATATATATCATGTTTTTATTACGCTCTATTGTCAAATTACCAGCCGTTTGACAGTAAGACACGATAAAAAACGTGATAAAATGTATAATGTGTTGCTCATGTTGCAGGAACAGGTCCTTTAAAAAGAGGTGCGAAAAAGCATTTGTGACCAACACATGCTTCTAAGTTCTTCACGCTTCTTTTGAAGGAGCAAGATGAAGATATCTATTGTGCCAAGGAAAACTGCTGCACGTCTGGACTTTACCACTCGGCATCTAATGGGATTATCATTTCTTTTTTGTATCTGGAAACTGAACCACCGGGAGTAGCACGAACAGGGTATCTAAAGACTCCACCCCGGCCATTTCACCCAGCCCGGAGGCTCGGTGAAATGAGCAGAGACCTACCATGTAAAAACCAGATTATAATCCTGCACCGGTCACCAGGCACCGCACTATGAGGATCGAAGTCCTCCTAATGCGTGCCGGGAGCGTGGGTAGTAACGTCCCCGCCCCCACGACAACGGCTAACTAGAGCCGAGGTCCGAGTCTCAGACACGCCCTCTACTTGAGCCAACCTCCTTAGGTTCGAGTGGTCTAGAGGCTCCAGACGGAGAGGAGACTCCCCCCGTGGGGAGATGCCATCCGCCTGGAATACCTCTAGAGGCACTCGCCAATTCTCGGCTTGAGGTCCCCTTAGGATCTCGCCCTCCCCAAACCTGGTGACGCTGTAAAGGTCATCTGCGACCAACAGCAAACACACTAAAAAAAAAGCGTAGTGATGTGGCGCCCTACAATAGACTGGTTTTTAAAAAAAACGGAATTAAACATTCCGGATTGGCTCGCGGATGACTCTCGACGTAAAGGATATAGGTGTAGTTAGACTAACTTGGTGTCAAATAGGTGTAATTAGACTAACTGGGTGTTAGCCCGCTCTCAGTGCAGTCATTTGAATGATTTATCAGACGTGGTAAAGTTTCCGCATGAATGACGGGTGCCTCCTCCAATGTTAGAATTTAATGTTAATTAGTTTCGAACATTTGTATTCTACGCTTTCACTGCAGCATTGACCTGTTTGCAGGTTGTGGTGTTCGACCGTTATCGTGTTCGATATTTTGCAGGTAGCATGGGAAATTAATGAGATACTACCTGTTGCTGGATTCATAGTCCGCGTTTTATTCAAATATTGTAATGGAAAAAAATCTATCGTAAGCATACGCTCTTTTTTCAGATGCCTCTGTAGGTGAGTGTGCCAGGTTTGACGTTGTTGCCACCTGTAACAATATATTTACTATATATATCATCTTCTATTGCCCTACCTTAAAACGGGGCGACTGGCGAATGGCGGTTAGCTCCTGCTTATACCTGGACCTGTAATTATCGCTGCCCTATCTAAAATACAACTCTGGCTACGGCCCTGGCCTATAACATCTCGGGTATCTCTTATCTATTAGACAAGTCCGTCCGTCTGTCTGTGGTGCTGTTTCAGCGGCCAAACCGTAAGAGATAGATAAAGAGAATATTTAAGTTATAAGTTAAGAATAGTCTGATAAGACTACAAACCGGATTTGAATAACGTAGCACTTCCGGTTTTCGAGAAATCAGGTTTTGGTGAACATTTGGTTCACTGGTTTGCTAGTAATTTATAATTTGGGACAATTCTTACTTATTTTAAGGCCCAAAGTCCTATGGTCGTGACAACTTTGTTATTTTGGTTTTATACAAAATAATGTTTTTTTTTGAAAAGGTAGCAGATACACATATTATTTAATATTTTTAATATATGGAAGGTTGTTTTTAGCCTTCGAAGGCAGAGGAGCAGACGGGCTACCTGAAATGGTTACCGTCGCCCAAGGTATGCCTTTAAGCCTTAGTGTATAAGTAAACTATATTTATTAGAAATTTTAAAAGCTAAAATTTATTTACTGTGTCGTACCTACAAAAATTTAATGTTAGGTCCAGTATCGGTGGATAAACATTTATTTAACCTAAACTCGTTTAATCTGGTCAAATGCACAGATTACACACTAAATGTAGAATACAATGGGTCATCGTAACCTCTGTCGCAACAGATCGTGACAATTAAAATGCGTTCTGCGTCACATTCGATCGCGGCCTGCGTTGATTGTAATGAGGTCATGCTTCCTATAGGTACCGCACGATTGCTCTATGATTATTATCTGAAGAAGTATTCATTGGATTTGGAAATCCTTTGTATTAACGCTAGCTTTCGAAGCAAAAAGGCTGTAAGATGGCGCGCCATCGAGCTCCTCGTAAGTTGTAAAGGGCTTGATAAGTGTAACACTCGTAGGTTGTTTCTAATTAGATTTTATCTTTATGATTTATAAACGAGGGCCACAATTGTATATGTACGTATTAATTAATTGATCACGTAGCTATTTTTAATTTTAATGATATGTTTTCAGGAAAAAAAGTACCCTAATCTGCTACAGAATATAATTCAGCTATTTTTGATAAAGTTTAAATAGGGTCATAAAGAAAAATGACAAGTAGGAAAAAAATACATTTCATAAAATAATGGCGATCATTTGAAATTATTTTATTAATGAGTGTTGTATATTGTATCAATTTGAATCGTTACTAGAACTAAAGATGTATACAAAATTTCAGCCTAGCAATAGATGCCAACAAAGAATTGTAAGACAGTTTACAAATATTGAAGTTCTTGTAAAAAAACCACAAGATTGCGTGAAACCATGGAGTATTGCGTTCGCGACATCGCCTTTAATCAGATTTATTAAAGTTACTAGCGGCCGCCCGCGACTTCGTACGCGCGGAGTTAGTTATTTGCACATACTTTTTGACCCTAAAATGGGGTTTATTTCTTAAGATACATTATTAGTACACCTTTATATCATCTATAGAGCATACATGTCAAGTTTCAAGTCTCTTACTTCAAAAACATAGGACTTTAACACAAACTTCCAACCCCCGTATTACTCCCTTGGGCGTGGAGTTTCGTGATAAAATGTAGCCTATAATGTTGACCCGACTTCTTAATAATTTTCATGCCAAATTTGAATTAAATCCAAATCAAAAAGTACTCCATCTTTTTGAGTTTATCCCGGACATACATACAGACAAAATTCTAAAAACTATATTTTTGGCTTCGGTATCCCCAAATATTCTTTTAAAAAAAATATCAATGTACAGTTTTGACTTTCCTACCATTTATTATATGTATTGATTTCTCGCAGTGGAATAATTTGATCACTAGGTAGGCACAATAGTGGACGTCGGGTATTAATTCTGATCTACCGAGTGATTTGTGGGTCCGCATGGGCGATGCAGAATCCGCCCCACTGCGCGTACGTCACGTACGCGATACGCGATACACGCTCCCTATCCATTTGGCTGCATTCGCTAAGTTCAATGGTAATAAAACAGTTTGTTACTATAATGCGATTCAACTAAGAATAGGACCGACTGGGCGCCATATTGTGATGTCATAGCTGTCAATTCAAACCAAATAGGTAGAGTGAGCAAAAAATGATTTTATTTAATAAAACTTATTTACTAAGATTAAGTGAGAAAAAGCATCAGATTTTTTTAATAACATTTATTAACTAAGATTGAGAAAAAAAAACAACCGATTTATAATAATATTTATTTATTAAGACTGTGACAAAAAGCATTAATCAGAATCTAGCTCTTCTAATCCGCTCATCTCTGCATTACCGCCGGAGTTGTTATGAATAATCATGCACTATTACTAGGTCACATACGAACATGCATCCTTTATGTAAACGAAAGGTTAAAATCGAGTTTCTATACGCAACTTAAAGTGACATTTGGTTGACGATTTAGGTTATCAGCCATTCATGACCAAAGCTCAATAAGTGAAAAAAAATATCAACCGATATTAATTATCAATATTTGTTATTGTTTGTTTACAAATGTTTGGTTTTTATTCTTGAATTAGCGGAGTGCTAAAAAGGGTTATTTTTGCAAACCGTACTTTTCAAGCGACATTTGACAGATAGAGGTCATTGACTTTCCTATTCTTATTTGAATCGCATTATACCTCTAATACTATTCTATACATTATGGTAAAATTGGTGGCCTATCATATTGTAAAATAAAAGCTTATAATGCTGCACTATTATTACTTGGTCAACATATTGGGTATTATTACGTGTTTGTCCAAAAAAGAGTTTAATGTTTTCAGGGTTCTTGCATGTATGTATGTACAATTCTGTATTCCTCCATAACTTCTGAGCCGGTTTGGATGTACTTATGTGGGGTATCGTTAAATCAAATCGTTGATATTGGTGAATTATTCAATTATAGGAGGATACCGAAACAACTCACATTATTTATGGCAGCAAACAGTAGCTCATTTAAATTGACTAATTACTTATCGCTAGTTAAACACATTTAATTTACATGAATGTGGTGCACGTATAAAATAGAACCCGTTCTATTCTTATTTGAGTCATCATTCTATTTATAATTTTTATTAATAAAATTCTATTAACGATTTTATATTCTATTAGTCTATTTTTGGATTAAAGCAAGAAACTTGTTTAACTTTGCGGAACTTTTGATCGTCTCAGTATTATATATGAGTTGACAACTAAAAGTAATTATCAGTTACTGTTTTCTTTTTTGTTATTACTTATCTAAGTGGCAATATACACTTTAATCTGTAGGTTAAATCAAATAAGCTGTGATTAAAAAATACTCTTTTCATGCTGTCAGTATATAAAATGAAAGACAGTAATCATTATTTATTTTGTTCATAGCAAGTAGTCAAGAGTATATCTTGGCAATTACAGTTTTTTTTCACTTATTATATAATATAAACAATGTACAGTATTTATTAAAAAATATTAGAAATACCCATCCCACGGATTTCCAGTAATTGATGTTGTTTAGACTTAAATATTGTATTTAGGTAAGTATGTACTTTAATACAATGTCTTATCGATACCTAAGTTGAATGTTGATTACCTTTAGTTTGTTTGTGAGCTTGTTTATCTCGCTGAATATTTAGGTAACCGTATGTGGATGTCGCCGTTCGCTACAAAAGCACATGACTTATTATGACTCATTTGCCGGCGAGGCTTAGGGCTGTCCATTTTTTCACCGTCTATTTTATTTATATACGAATTAGTACAAAGTTTTCATCTTGAAAAAAAAAATGAAAAATCCTGCAATATGTTATGAATATAGATGTTCATTTATAATTAAAGTAATACAATTGTTATTTTTTTAATAAACACAGTGTTATTAAACTTTCTTGAATATAAAATATACTAAGTTTAGTACCCGTATATATTTTATACTTGGAATTCGTGGTTCCCGTGAAGTGAAACGTTATCACTATTTTTTTATGGTATCTTCTTATCATCTGTAAGTATCTAATTAACAAGTGCTTCTGACTGACCACGAAATTCAACAACTTTCATAAAGAATATAGCGGAATATTATTACCAGAGAAATGTTTTCTTATATTTTTTACTAAAAAAAACCTGCTAACTTTGTATATCTAAAGCAATTTTTGATGGAAGTGTTAGCCGAGTTAAATATTTTCTAGGAATTTTTATTAGTAACAATGAAACGGTGTTTATTGTTAAGCCAGATTCCGGTGGGTGGTACTTTTTTGTTGTTCAAGTTTTTAGAGACTATATATATACACATGTTACAAAAAGCTTTTATTCTGATAGGTAGCGAGTGGCATAATAAGGATGAGGTTTTTTTTCCATCATGTAAAATAAAAAAAAAATGGGCACGTATTTTTCTTTATTTATATAATCAAAATATTACAGACATATATTGATTTGAAATGTTGCATGACGTCACGTCTTACTCCAATTTTTACTAAGAATTGACGCCACGTGCCCCCACGCCCACCTTTCTTTGTAAGTTATCATTGATTGACAAAAGAAAAAATAAGTGTTCATTATTTTTTGAAAATCTAACTGACAGACTTTATGGAATTTCGTTTACTTACCCTGTCATCATCCCTATTCATCTGGTGTAAAAATCTGAGTAAGATAATTATTTAAAAAAATATATTGCGTGTAGAATATGGAATTAGTAATTCTATAACGCCTGAAGCGGTTACCCTAGATAGTTTGATACATACTAGGAATGTAGTGTCGGAATATATACCTATTAGCATTCGAAACGCGTGCCGCAAGTGCGTATACTCCGTTCTAAGAGGAAGTTGCACATCGTCATTATTGGGGTATCATCGGGCGATTCCGACAAAATTTACGAGTATCGTTTTATTACTCGCGAAATTAGTATTAGGTTCGGTTCCGATTTCAATTATTATAAGTATGGATCACTCGCAGACAGCTACTAGTAGTAAAGCTTGTTTGTTGCCGATTTTAATTAAGATAAAAAATAAATCGACTCTACACTGTAAACGTAATTTATATTATTTATTATAATGTTGATAGACAAGTAAAGTGCAATGTCTATTTAGTACACCTGCAATATATATGATTTGATTAACACGCGGCGGGTTGCAACGATTGCCAATTGTGACAATTCAAAATAAATAGAGGGCATTTCCGAAGTTTCGATTAGTCAGTGTGTACGTTGAGTTGGTTCGTTGGCTGGCGACCAACGCGTTGTCGGGCGGCCATTTGCTTTTATTTTATGCTCTCATCAGGACCTTTGCGAAGTAAATTAGTGTCGAATTTTCGTACCTGCTTTGCTCTTAACGTTGATTTTCGATATATGGTCATTGACATTAATCGAACTGTGACTTACTTAATTTTAAATCCCGTAGAATTGGACATGATACGATGTAGTTCACGATTTAACATTAATATACAAATGTGGACCATAGGTTTGGGTAAGAATATTCAATTGTTGGTTTCACACAAAATA